TTAAGAGCTCTAAACTGAACTGACTGATAAGACGAGAGCTCTAAACTGACACTGAACTGACTGCCAAGCAATCAGTCAGTCAGTCAGTCTCATCAGTTTGGATTGATTGTTAGCAACTCTGGCCTCGATGGCCATGCATACGGTTCATGGAGGGGAAAGGGGAACCCCGGGCGTATGTGGCTTCGTGACTTCCTTTCTAGGGACTTACCTTGCTGCCGAACTATGATCTATGGCTACAATTCAAAATTGTCAAGCCATGGAATCGATAAGATTATAGACTATAGCAGGGGCTTAAGGGAAGAGCTCAAGAAAGTCAGGGATACAGAAGAAGTAAGTCGTATCTCGACGTGCATGTGTAGTATAAGCACAAAACTAATACGCGCCCTGACCTAGTCAAGACAGCGACCACTCTTCTTCATCGCTCACAGTTTTGGTGGCATAATACTCGCTCACGTACGTGCTCTACCCGAAAATGTAGATGTGGAGCTGAACAAAGACACAGTGCCTCAATCAAGCGCGTCAGACGAACGAAGACGATGACCTTACGATATCAGCCGTTCACAGAGCCACTTACGGCATGCTTCTCTTTGCAATTCCGCACAAAGGCATAGCAATCGACGGTATTCAGAAGATGCTTGGAGGACAGGAAGACCACTCAAGGATCGGGCTGCTTGAGCAGATCAAGAAAGGTTCTGATATCCTAGCTCAGTCGCTAGCTGATTTCAAGAATGTTGTTCGAGATCGGAAGGTAGTAAGCTTCTACGAGACAGGGCAAACCAGGCAGGTCGAGCTGGTATGATACCCCAATACACTCATATTCAAGCACGTTACTTGAACATTGCTGATGTATTTGCGATAGAATAGCGAAAGCTCACGTTACGCCAGAACGGGCGAGTTTGTCACAGTGGTTGATACGGACTCAGCTATTCTTCAACTCCCCGATCATCTTGAGGAGAAGATTCCCTTGACTGCCGACCATTCCATGATTGTCAAATTTGACAGCACGGACGATCAAGGTTACACCAGTGCGCGGGACAAACTTAGAAAGTTTGAGCAGGATGCACCAAGTGTGGTTGCAACTCGTTTCCGTACGTGACCTTTTTTCCAGTGAGCCCTCCAACTCAAGGATTGTGTTTGGAATGAAATCTGTCGCTACCTGAACAAATCCTAATGGATGTTATCTCTGACCATCTGGTAGAATTTGCTGTCCATCCGAAAGGGGATAATTCTATGGCGAACTGGATCTCAAGTATTCCTTACGGGTCTCATCATGATTTTGCTTGCCAGAACCTCCTTGCTGGATCCGGTCAGTGGCTGTTTGACAGTGATGAATTCATTTCCTGGGACCGTGCCGATCCCCTCACCTCTACAGTGTTATGTCAAAACTTTGGGGGTGTAAGAGTTGTCGTATTGTCAAGGTGAGACCTAAGACTAAGTACTAAAGCTAATTAGTCATGCAACATCAGTCACATGATCACTGTCTTCATCGCCCATCTTAACACTCCCCCTCGATGAGGGCAGTGCTCCCCCTTAATGCTGTCAGATATACACAAGTTGTTCCGTGCTCCAGGAGCCGTTGCCCCAATCATCGATCCTCCGCAACCCAACCATCCGTCGAAAGGACTTAAACTTCGTCTTGCCCAGTAGCTTAGTGAGTCCATCTGCTAGGTTCAACCCACCAGCAATCCACTCCATCTCTACCAGCCGTTCTTCCACCTTCTCTCTTACAAAGTAGTACTAGATGTCCACGTGCTTCGTTCTTGCATAATACATCGGGTTCTTAGCCAGGGCCAGGGCCCCTCAATTGTCTCCGAGTATGGTCACTAGCTCAGACGCGCTCAGCTAAGAGAGGTCAACTCGCAACTAACACAACAGTCGCTGCAGCCATATCGCTTCCTTCGCGGCCTTGGACTCCGCGATGTACTCAGCCTCACAGCTAGACAGCGACACAGTAGCCTAACGCTTCAACTTCCAGCTAATAGCAGTGCCAGCAAATATAAAGATATAACCCCTAGTTAATTAGCAGTTATTATCTCTTCCCCAGTTCGCATCCGTGTAGCCTATCAGGATAGCTAGCCGATCTTGCGTGTCTATCATCAGGCCGTAGTTACTAGTACCCTTCAGGTACCAAAAAAGCCTCTTCAAGGCCGCATAGTGTTTCTGTAACAGATTAGCGGCGAAGCGACCCAGCTAACTAACCGCATACGCAATATCCGGGCGAGTACAGAGCATCAGATACATAAGGCTACCAACCGCTCGCTAGTACCACTTCCAGTCCTGCGAGTCTAACGCCTCTTTACTAGGTTCCAACACAAGATTCTTATCTATTAGAGTTGCTACAGGAGTACACTCTGCCATTCTAAAGGTTCTTAACACCTTCTTAGCATATGCGCGTTAGGTTAGCTTAATTCTACTACCCCGCAAGGTATCCTCCCGGATCACCTTCACTCCTAGATAGTAGGCAACCAAACCAAGATCGCTCATCTTAAAGTGCTCCAACAGAGCGCTTTTAACAGATGCAATCGCCTCCTAATCCTTCCCTAAGATCAAGAGGTCATCCACGTATGTTGCAAGGACCAGACGTTTGTCTCAATTAACGAAGACGCTATAGTCTTCTAAGATTACCACAAATCCCATTAGCCGCAGCGCCTAGCTCAAGGTAAGGTACCAGATCCAAGGAGACTGCTTAAGCCCATATAAGGCCTTCTTAAGCTTACAAATCTTCCTAGGGTACCAGTCCTTAATATTAGGTAGGAGTTCCATGTAGACGTCTGTGTCAATCTTGCTATACAGAAATGCTGTCTTAACGTCCATCTGCTCAATCAACCAGCCCAGCAGGCAGGCCAGAACAAATAGAAGCTTATAAGTCATCGGCTTTACCACCAACGCAAACGTCTCAAGAACGTCAACGCCTAGCTCTTGTTCAAATCCGCGGGCGCACTATCAGAACTTGTAACAAGTAACTTCTCCATCAGCATTAGTCTTAACCTTATATGCAAACTTGCCAGTTAGGATTAACACTCCTGCTAGGGGATCCACAATATCCTACACGTCGTTAGCTATAATCTCTTTAACCTCTTCGTCTATAGACAGAATCCATCGTAATGCGTCCGCACAGGTGACAGCATCCTCATAGTTCTTTAGTTCGTATGCGCCGCCAGCAGCATAATTAACTACATAGTTCTCAAGTTTATCTTAATTCTTCTCCAGCGCTAACAGCGCAGCTAGACACTTAATCACTGCACTTTAATTGTTATAGTCTACAGACGCAAGCAACTAGGCCACCTAAGTCTGTGTAATCTCTTCAGAGAAGCGTTCCGCTTTATTTATCTCGCCGTCTTTAGCAATTAACACAAGTCCTCTATCAATCGCAGGAGGCTTCACGGACAAAGCCGCTAGAGTCTCCCCCTTAATTGTAGAGTACCGTCGTCGCTTAGCCCTATGTGCGAGAGTATCTTAAATTCTAACCTCGTCGCAATAGGCTAGTCAGCGCACAGTCTTAAGAAC